CAGAGGGCTCACAGCCCAGTCTTGGTGGTGTGTTTATCTTCGCCTGTGTTAATGCAGCCGGTTAACCTCAGTCAGTTTGGGTTCTCTCCCCTCCCACCCTCCCTGGAAGTCCTGGGACCCTCACACGCCTTTGATGGTCAGCCCTGACATCTGGCCATCGTCACTCCTGGCTGCCATCTTGGTACCTTGACATGCAGCCTGGGCCACTGAGGCTCACTTGCTTGCTCTGGAGGGTGGTGACACTGCTCAGCCCCGCTGTGTTCTGTAGTTTGGGGGACCCACAGAGGGCTGCCTGAGCTCTGGGGGAGGGTAGTGGCAAGTGCAGGAGCACCCCTAACTGGGCCCACACTCATTTCCTTCCTTCCAGGCCCGGCATGTACGCAGAAGTTGCAGGCTTTCATTTCCTTCTTTATGCCCTGTGTCTGCATCACCTTAGGGATCAAAATTCTCCTCCGGGGCTGCATCACCCCTGCCCATGTCCTTCACCACGGTCAGTTTCTCAGATGCCAGCAGCTGTTTAGACATGGGCCAAGTTCCCCTCCTGGGGGATCTGCTTAGCCTCCTTGTGAACAGGTCCAAGCTGGGACCCCACAACCTCAGAGGCCCCTTATTTGCAGAGTCCCCCTCAGTGCACCTGTGCGGCTCTCAGCACGGCTCTTGTCAACCTGCTAGGTCCTCTGGGGATGTGTGTATGCATCTCCCCACGGGCAGGAGCGAGGTCTTATGGATTGGGAGTTAGATCTTAGCTCATGACACAGTGCCCCACTGAGGTGACCCGAGAGGGGTGGACGTGCAGGAGAAGGATGTAGGGTGCATTCTGCAGCTCAAGATTGGGAAAACTCATCAGAAATCAGAAGGCAGGTGTGTTCACAGGCAGCGAAGCTTGTAGAACAGTCAAGCCCCAGCTTTCCTCACCATCTGATGCCTGGGTCCAGCCTGGTGCTCCTGGACAGACCCCCGTCCTTACCCCCTCACCACACGGCCCCATGGCCGCATAGTCACATGGTGCCAGGGTGTCTGGCACCAAGCCCCTGCACCAAACCACTGTGGCACACTGCTTGTGATGGAACTCGGGGTTTGAGCAACACACCTGCGCCCCGCCCCTGAGCCAGGCACCCTCGGCCTGCATGCTCTAAGTTGCTAGCTCTGGGGAGGAGGGGTGGCCTGGGAGCTTTCTGGACATGGATTTGGCCATGGCTTTTCTCCAGTAGCTTCTGTCCCACCTGCCGGGTGACCACAGCGAAACCAGAAATCCAGTTTGGACCAGACTCTGAGAGTGCTTTCCTGGGTCTTCAGACCCTAAGGACACCTCCAGTCCAGAATGTAAGACGGAAGTGGTGAGGGGTGTCGTGGAGAACACGGAGGCCCAGAGGGGGGAAGTGAGGGCATCAGGGACCCCAGGAGTTGGCCTGCACCTGGATTCATCCCTCCTAAAGCCAGGCCCGTGCTCCTTGGACCACACCAGGCTGGACCCATTCAGACCCTCTGAGAGAAGGAGTGGGGTTTATATATAAATGAATGACAAGGAGCCAGACGCCGGGGTGCATTGCCCATCATCCCTCCCAAAATAAAAACTAAAAGAGGCTGAGATATAGCTCAATAGAGTGCACACCTGGGTGTAGTCCCCAGTGACCTCAGCTGCTCCTTGCGGACCTTCAGGCTGCCCACTCTGTCCTTACTCAGGGTAGCTGTCCCCTGTCCTCACCCCGTCAGCAGCCTCTGGTCTTCACGAGCCCTCTCTGCGGTTCCCTCAGCGGGGTTAGGGTTAGGGTTATCTTCTTGACCTAAATCCCTCAGAAGACTCTCTAGGATACCAAAGGCATCTACAGAGAGCAGTTGGGGCCATCCTGGGATGGACCTCCTGTTGCTTGGCATCTGTCACTCATTCGCTTACGCACACGTTCCAACACACATTTATCATGCATCTGCCACGGGCCGGGCCCTGCGCTCTTCTGGGAACAGACAGGCGGGGCGGTCCCTGCACTTGAGATACCCTGTGACTACAGGGACACAGCAAATCTCTTTGCTGTCTCTGATCCTCTCAGGGAGGCTCGCTGGAAGGGCCGTGAGAGAAAGTGAAGAGTGAGCAGGAGGTGCAGAGGGACCGGCAGGTGCCAAGCCCAGGAAGGGTGAGCAGCTCTGAGGGCCCTGGGGGTCTGGAGGGAGGACACAAGGGGAGGCAGGTGGCGGGCAAGCTGGAGATGGGAGCTGGGCCCTGGCGTAGGACAGGTAGGACAGGGGACCCGTGGAGGACACTCAAGGCTCCCTCCCCCCAAGGTGGCCTTTCCCTGCGAGTCACGGCTCCTGGAAGGCTCCGACACCAGGCTCCAGCCTGTTTCCTTTGGGGCCATCTCCACTCCCTTCCCCTCCCCACAGAGTCCCAAGTCTTCCCTCTCCTTCCTGGCCACAGCCAACCCTGTCCTCGTTCCATGCCTCGGGATGCGCCAGGTAGCAGACACTCTGGGGGCTCTGGCCCAGCTGTGATGCTGGAGTCCACCCTGAACTGCCCACTCCCGTACCCGTGTCTGATCTGTGACTTCGCCCCTGGTCAAAGGTGCCCATGGACCCAAACTGTGCCCCTGGGTTTCTTTCTTGGGTATTTGGAATGGGCCTTATGAACTGCCGTTGGGTAAGGCTGCCGTCTGGGACAAGGTGCTGAGGAAAGCCACTTTCTGCCAGGTGATCTGGGAAGTCAGGAGCAGTGCTGCCACCAGGCAGGAGGGGGAGAGAGATGGGGGGACCCTCCTGGAAGCGTGGGCCCTGCCAGCCCTGCTGCTCGCCCTCCTGCAGGGCCAGCACACCGCTGCCCATGGCACCGCACGGCCACCCACTGCCCGAGAGCAATGCCTTTCTGACCCATCCTTCTTCCCCCTCTTTCCTTACCTTCCTGCCCATTGCCCACCATCAACTGGGCAGACTCTGGTTAGGATGTGTATCTGAAACCAGGTGCCTGGACAGAGGCAGGGAGGGGTCCTCCGGGGGCACAGGGGAATAAGCTGGTCCTGAGGACCTCGAGGCACATGCTGCTGTATTAACCAGATTCAGGTCAAGGCAGGAGGTCCTGGGCTCCAGGGCCCAGACAGAACCCTGGGACAGGAGGTCCTCCATGCATGGTGCCTCACTCGGGGCCTGAAGTTGTAGGATTTGTGCCCCAGCAGCCTGCAGCCTGGGGAGGTATTTTTTTCAGCCTAAGAATATGCTTCTCAGTGTTAGTGATCCCTTAAGGCAGCCACCATGCCACCTGGGGGGCTATGATTAGAATCCTCACGGTTCTTCTCATTACTGTGATTAACAGTGACGGTGAACACAACTTCTGCTGAGAGCCCGCCTCGCAGGGCCTGGCTTGGGGGAGCCCCAGAGACCCCTTTCAGGACCACAGGAGCTCAGTCCACCATCCCTGCAGTGAGGGGTCTCCAGGGGCACAGCGCTGCTTCCTTCATCCAGGCCCCAGGAGCTGTAGAGGGGCTGGCCTCAGGGTCTAGAGGGGTCAGCTCAGCACTGGGGCAGAGCCAGGCCTGACTCCCTGCTGGGCTCCCAGGGCTGTGTCATGCTGCCTGTCCTTGCAGGGCTGATTGTGCTGAACCAGAGACGAGTGGAAGAGGGACAGACTGTGGCACATGTAAGATCTCTTCTTGACAAATGTGCATCCTCACCAGCCTCTCCTGCCTGGGCCCTGTCGGGGTCTTGCTGAGGGTGGCCATGTTGGCCAGGAGTGCTGGTGCAGCTTGTGGGCAGGGGACAGCTGTGACCAGAAAGAGGCTGCGAAGTTAGAGCTTGACTGGAAACATTTGGAGGAGGGAGGATCCTTCCAAGGGGACCACTGGCTGTTCCTCACAGCCACAGGATCCCGCAGGGAGGGTCTGGAGCTCGGCATTCTAGTCTCTTTCCCCAGCAGGCACCCACTCCTGAGCTCACCCGACCCCTGGGCACATCCTTGACACAAGAGAGCTGTGTTTTTGTTTTTTTTTGTCAAACACCGGCAGGCCTTGGGTAAGAGTAGGAGCTCACTTACTCACCTTTCGGTGGGCAGACCAGCTCAAACTAAAGCAAAGCAAAGAGAATTTGGGGATGAGCCCCTCCAGCTGGCCGCGCCCTCCGTCCTTTAGATCCTGCTCCGCTCACAAGTCTCTTGTTTTTCAGCTAGTAACATGGTGCCCCTCCCTCCCAGTGACGATCAGGCCCTAGGGCCACCGCGGTGAGGCCCTGTCCTCGGCAGAGGGGGAATCCTGCTGCCCTGGTGCTGGGCCCACGCTCTCTCAGCTCCTGTCCACGCCAGGGCTCGCCCTAGGACTCGGGTCCCTGCCAGCCTACCGCTCCTTGGGAACGCAGGGGGCGCTTGGCAGGAACGCTTCCCCTGCTCCCCAAGGCCCTGGGGCAGACGATCCGCACTGCAGGGGCCTCTCTCACCCCACAGACGGAGGGGAGGAGCGAGGACCCGGGAGGGGAGGAGCGAGGACCCGGGAGGGGAGGAGCACGGGCCGGGAGGGGAGGAGCGAGGACCCGGAGGGGAGGAGCAAAGACCCGGGAGGGGAGGAGCACGGGCCGGGAGGGGAGGAGCGCGGGCCCGGAGGGGAGGAGCAGGGCCCGGGAGGGGAGGAGCGAGGACCCGGAGGGGAGGAGCAAAGACCCGGGAGGGGAGGAGCACGGGCCCAGAGGGGAGGAGCAGGGCCCGGGAGGGGAGGAGTCGGGGGCCCGGGAGAGACGGGCGCTGGCACCCCCCCCCCCAGCCCCGCGGCTGCAGTGAAGAATTGAGCGCGGAGCAGCGCCGGCGTGTTTCGGTGGTGGGCACGGCGCTGGGCGCGCAGCACCGGGGAGGGCTCTGCGGATGGGCCTGGCGGGGAGGAGGAAGGGCGGCCTAGAGGGAAGGAAGATGCCCGGAGGGGGAGAAAGGAGGGCCGCGGAAGGCACTGGAGGAAGGAACCGGGGAAGGCAGAGCCGCGCTCCCTGTGCACCCCCTGCCTCGGGTCAGCCTCTTGCTGGGGCATTTCTCATGTGAGACCCCCACCTTGAGCGGTTACCCCGTGCTGCTTTCTGCCCAGTGAGACGGCGGAGGAGGCCACAGTGGCTGGGCCTCCAGACACAGCCCCCAGGCCCAGGATAGGCGAGGTGTGGGGGCGTTCCCACGGCCACCAGGAAGTGTCCACTGACCAACCTTATAGTGTGATCAGCGGTACAGATTCCCCCTCCCGGGGAGGAGAGTGGGCCACAGTGCTCTTCTTTCAGAGTTATTTGGAGTCAAATTGGTAAAATAATAATTTTTATTCAAAGCCAGCTTTGAAGGAAGATGGAAGAAACTTAATTGTTTTAAAAACTCCGTCTTTTAAAGCGTTTAAGAGGGGAAGGGCGCACCGGAACCAAGGGCAGGAGCTTCCCGGTTCTGCCTCCTTCCTAGTCCAGTTGGCCAAGAGGCGTTTCACAGGTGTTCACAGGTTCCTGCCCTTGGAGCTGGGACTTCCTGGGCCAGCCTCTGTGCTGCCTTTTAGATAAAAACGTTATCTTTTTAACTGAGGAGAAGGAAAGGTATTACAGAGGCTTTTCTTTAGAGTTTAGAACCTCAAAGAGAGGATGTTTGAGATGGAGAAATGTTGGGAGGCAGTCACAGCCTCCTTGGCCTCCACTCTCAGCATGAGGAAGCCATTCCCAATTTCAGATGGGTGGGGGCACAAGTTCAGTCTGTTTCAGTTCCAACGGTTGCAAGGGACAGAGAAAGAGGGATGCTTCCCAGCTTGTGTCATAAGGCCATCCAACCTCCGGCCAACCGTGGTACCCGGCCTTACATAGACATGTCCAGAAAGAAAACCAGAGGTGGGCCATGCTCATGACCATGGGTCCATCCGTCCTTCATCAGACATTCGCAGATCAGGCCAGCAGGATGTGAGTCTATTCCTGGAATGGAGAGGTGGGCTGACAGTGGGCTTCTACCCAAGTGCCTCACAGCAGTAATGACCTAGGAGAAAAGTCACCTCCATAGAGTGGGAAGGAACCTCTAAACTCTACACCCATGTTGCTGTCCGGGTTTAGTGTCCAAACGTGTACAAAGGACTTCTACAATGTCAGCGTGAAGAAGACAGGGGACCTGGGGGCGTTCCCCAAGTCCACCAGGAAGTGTCCACAGACCAACCTTATAATGTGACCAGCCTTATAAAAGGCCAACTCTCTTTTCCTCCCTGGAAAGAGAGTTGGCCATCCATGGGTGGGCTCACTTGGACACAAAATTCCTGAAGTTGGACACGTAGTATATATAACACATAGGAAATGCGCAGTGAAATCCGCCTTCCACCAAACAGAGCTGTCAAAATGAGGGACAACAACTCACAGGCTGGGAAAGGGTGGCCCACCTGCGGCTTCTGCTTTGGTGGGAGTGGGAGTAGGTGTAGGTAGGAAGTGGGTGCTGCCCTCTCGGGCTGGTGCCTGTCCCCCCCGTGGCCCAGCAGTCCTTTCCTCAGGCGTGTGCCCAAAGCAGGGTGGACAAATGTGCAGCCAAAGACTGTTCACAACCATGCTATTCATAGTGGCCCGAATCTGAAAACAACTCCAGTGCCCATCCACAGAGGAGTGGATGCATAGATGGAGGTTTGTTCCCGGATGGGTCACGCTCCACCAGCGAGGATGAATGCACAATAGCTCCACACAGCACACTCGGAGCTCGCAGACGCTGGGCCAGAGAACCTGACCCAGGAGCGTACATGTTGCGCAACACCCTTCGCATGAAGTTAAAGAGCAGGCAGGGTAGCCTCCAGTGTTAGGAGTCAAGGTGAGTCATCTTGGGGGGTTCCTGGGGCCCAGGCAAGGGTCTGGGTACTGACTTCATGGATGGGCTCCCTTGGACACAAAATTCCTGAAGCTGGACACATTGTATTATTCTTTTCATTATTTGTATTACTTTAGTAAAAAGCTAACTTTTAAAAAGCTAATGTGGCTGGGCCTGGTGCCACATGCCAGTAATCCCAGAGACTCGGCAGGCTGAGGCAGGAGGATTGCAAGTTCAGGGCCAGCTTCAGCAACTTAGTGAGGCCCTAAGGAACTCAGGGAGACCTTGTCTCTAATTAGAATATAAAACATAGGTTGGGGATGTGGCTCAGTGGTTAAGTCCCCTGGGTTCAATCCCTGACATAAACAAACAAGCAAACAAACAAAAATCTAATGTGCTTACAATGTCCTCAGGCCCAGGGGAGGGCTCCCTCCGGTCTGCATGCGTGCCTTGGTGAGCCCCTCCAAAAGAAGGTAGAGCCACACTGTCTCCAGAAGATGACACAGCTATGGCATGTCATAGCAACTTCAGAAGATGCCGTGTTTCCAAACTCCCTGGTCTCCAAGGAGGAAACGCACCGTGGTGGGCTGGGGAGATGACCTGTTCAGTGGGGAGCAGAGCTGACTCTGGAGGCCGGTCCTGCGGCCATGCTGGGAAAGAAGGAGGGGAGGGGGTGACCCTTAGAGCCCGGCATTGCTGGATGCAGGAGGACCTGGGTCCTGCAGGCACTGAGGTGCAGACAGGAAGGGAGCCGGCTGCAGCCCAGGGTGCAGCTCTGGCCTTCACGGAACCGTCCTGGTGCTGCCCCAGGTACCTTTAATACTCCAGGGGTTGCCAGTTAGTCTCTGAGAGGGATGAAGCCTCTTCTGGGCCACAAGTTCCAGCCACCATGGTGGGACTTCACTGGAGGAGTGAAAGGCAGCTCCCGCGGTGACAAAGGCAGACACTGTCTCCTCCTCCTGGAAGCCCCTGTGCTTCTGCACGGAGCTGCTCCCACACCCCATTTCTGCACCATCCTTCCTGCCACTCTGGAGGGAGGTGGGAGAGTGAACCAGGGGACCCTGGACCTTGCAATCACCAATAGTAGGAACTGTGGCCATGTCCTGCCCACCCTAAGCCTGGACTCACTCCTTCTCTGGCTGGGAAGCTGGCCTCCAGGAGGCCCACCAAGAGACTGTGGAGCCGACATGGCCATTCTCGGCTGGGCTTGAGGGCTCTGGGTGAGTATGGTTAGAATCCTTCCCCCCACTTGCAGGGGAAGGTGACCCAACGGGTTACTGTGGGTCCTCCTTCATCCCAGCCACACAGGCTGGGAACAGGAATGATTCTCCAATTCTCCAGCCTGCAGAGGAGCTTGGGACCCACTGCCAGCCTCTCCCTGATTTGAGTCTCCACCCACAGGGACTTGGGGGCTGACCTAGAGGATAAAGGCGAGAGGCATTGGGAAGAACAGCCCGAGGCAAGGAGCCTCAGAGGTGCGAATGGGTGGCCATGCCTGCGGGGTGTGCACGCATGTATGTATGTGTGTGTGTGTACATGTGCTCGCATTCGCGTGACTGGGTCCTGTCCTCCTGGGGGCAGAGGTGGGTTTTACCCAGCAATTTTATCAAGGCAGTTTGCAGTAGTTTTGGGGAACATGGCAAATAGTCCCCGTGATGGACAATGGTCTCGCTCAGTGGAAGATCATGGGTGGCCAGCACAGGGGTGGTGGCTGGAGAAACCTGGCCACAGAGGTTGGAGAAATGTGCCCTGGGAGGGGAAGCTGGCCAGGGCACAGGGACTCTGGCCCTGGAAGATGGGTCCTGTGTGCATGGTCCAGGGGCTGGCCAGACCTTGTCCCAAGGCCAGCTCTGTGCCCATCAGCCCTGTGGCTAATTCTGTACAGAAGTCCTGTGGCTTGCTCTGTAGGGGCCGCGGAAGGAAGCTGTAGCCAAGAGGAAGAGGAGACCGCTGGTAGCAGAGGGTCCCTCACGGGCAGCGCAGCATGCTGTGGTGTCTGAAAAAACGGGGTAATGTGTAGTTTTCCCATAAGGGGCACGGTCTGGCCGCTCCTGCTTCTCATGTGGCATCTGCATTTTCGGAGGACTCTCCACATGTCCTCGGCTCAGGGCTCAGAGCTGGGCTGCACCAGGGGCCCCCTGGGACACGTGAGTTTTCTTTCCACCTTTGCTCCCACTGGGTTTGGGTGGGCTCTGCCTCCATGTGACCCCCCAGCCAAGCTCCCACACCCTTGTGTCCATCATGCATTCGATGCTTGCTGAGTGCCCCATGGGTCAGGCCTGGGTGTAGCTGTGGATGTCCTCTTGAAGGACTTGGACTCCCTGAAGGAGATCTAGAGCAAGTGGATTTGACCACCAGGAACCTGGCAGCCTGAGGTCCCCAATAGCCCAGGAAGCACACTGAGTGGTGGTCAGTCCTGGGGAGACACCACGTTCTGGAGCTCAGGCCCACAGCGTCCCTCAGTCAAAGCAAGCAGCCATGACCCATGGAGCCCCACTGCAGCCCTCTAAAGCCCTCTGCACACTTGCTTCTGACATGAAGATATTGCATCTGGGTTGTCTGGCCAGGGATCAAGGCGCTTCCCAGAGAGGGGAGAAGTAGCCTTGGGTGGCAAGCTCCCAGGACCCAGGACCCAGGGTCCAGGGCTGTCTGGTATCCTTGGCTCATGTTCAGACACATGCAGAGGTAAAGAGGCCGAGAGATGCTTGGAGTCAAGAGGCCTGGCTCTCCCATTTACCAGCCATGTGACAGTGAGCAAGTCATATTCTCTCAAGTGATGGGGTTGGGCTAGCGTCTCTTAAAGTGCCAAGTGTCTCCAGGAAGGCTGTGAAGGTCTGAACCAAGACCCTGCAGTGAGCAAGGGCCCAGGCGAAGCTTCCCCTGCATCAGACACCACCCAGGAGCCGTGAGATGCCTCCTGAACCACTCCATTCCCTCTCTTCTTAACACATTTACTGAATTCCTGGGATGCGCCTGGAACTTTCCCACAACCCTGCTCTCTGAGGATATAGCAAATCTCTACCCCCATGAGTTCAACTTCTGCCAGATTCGACTTTTTCTGTCTTTGTAGACTGCAGGGCCTGGACCAATGAATAAAAGTCATGGGGAGGTGGGTTTAGGTTTGATGCCAGAAAGAACTTTCTAACCACTCAAGTGACATTAGAGTGGAAGGACTGCCTTGGGAACAGTGACAAAGCTATCTCTGGAGATGTTCAGAAAGAGATGGAAGGCCTAGCAGATTTGTGGTGGGTCCCCATGATGCTGCCAACTGGTGTTCACAGCCTCCTGCGTTCCACTCCTGTTGTGACCATAACAAAACACCTGAGGCTAGGTAATGTGTAAAGAAAAGAGGTGGATTGACTCACAGTTTTGGATGCCAAAAGTCCAAATTGGGTGACCCCATCAATTCAGCCTCTGGTGAGGGCCCAGTGGTAGATGCATCCTGGCAGGATTGTTTTTAAGAGAGAGAGAGAGAGAGAGAGAGAGAGAGAGAGAGAGAGAGAGAGAGAGAGATCACGTGGTATGACCAGAAGCCAGAGTAAGACTGGGGTCCTCTAAGAACCTGTTAATAATCCCTTCTAAGAATGCACCCCAATGACCTCTGACCTCCCACCAGGCTCTGCCTGGTTAAGGTCCCACCACCTCAACACCTGCTAAGGACTAAGCCTCCAACCCACGAGCCCTTGGGGAGCCTCCTCTGAAATGTGGGCAGAGCCCTGACTTGCTTCCAGCCCACAGAACACAGCCAGCGTGACTGGGTGATGACGTTACGGAACACGTCACAGTTGTCTAACTGGCAGACTCTCTTGCTGGCTTGGTGGCACAAGTGGCCGGACTGGTGTGGCCCAAACAGCAGGGAGTGGGAAGCAGCCTCCAGTCAAAGCCAGAAGACACCGAGGCCCCCAGCAACCCACGCTGCCGGCCACCGTGAGGATTCAGGCAGTCCTTCCGCAGCTGAGCCTCGGGGAGGCCTGCGGCCCCGAGGACGTCCCTGCACCGAGTCTCTGAGGCAGAGGAGCAGCTGAGCCACGCCGACTCCTGACCCCAGAGACGGGGAGGACAGGTCGGTGTGCGTGGAGCTGCTGAGCGCGCAGTGATGCCGTCACACGGCCAGCGTCAGGCCACACGAGGTGCGCATTGGCCAGGTCAGACTGGCTCTCAGAAGACTCATCCCAACCCGAGGCCAGGGCCATCTGCACTGATTTTCATCTTCTGCGCTGCGCTTAGTTCAGTCCTTGCATAAACGGGGCCTGCTGCACGTCTGTTCAGCCCTGGCACCGGCTCAGGCACCGAGGACGCGGCTAGCGCACGAGCAGATCCTGCCTGCACTGCTCAGGGTGGGGGCCAGGACCCTGGGTCTGGGCTCCCTCCAGCTGCTCCCACCCAGAGTGACTCTGGGCACGCCTGCCTGGGGTTGTGCACCTCACGGATCAAACCTCCGACCTACCCACGCAGGGTCTGCGCAGGTTGAATGAGCTAATATGGCGGCCTGTGGAGAAGCCCACGGAGGGAGGGGTTGTTATTGTTGTTATGAAATGTCACAGGCATTCCTGCTGGCTGACTCACGGGGCTCCAGACTTGGAGGGCTCCCTTCCAAATAAGGCACGGACGTGTCCAGGCGGTGGCCTACGGGCTTTGCTGGTCACCCCTGCCGCTGATGTGAGTGCAGAGCCCGAGTCTGTTGATCCAGGGCTGGCCTCCTCCTGGCCCCTCCTGAGTGGCCCAGCTGCAGTGTGGCCGTGAAGGGCCCTGTGAGCTGCCTTCACGGATCCGGGTGGGGGCTGTGGGCTGGTCTCTGAGTCAGAGGACGAAGGAAGACAGGAGTGGACGGCGGCCAGGGGCCGAGCACATCTCTCGGCGGGATTTCAGAGGCCAAGGCCTTCCCGGCAAATCACGGTTAGTAGCAAAACCGGAGTCTCACTTGCAGTGACAACTGTGCTTTGATCACTGCCAACGCTTGGAAGCACTTGTGGCTTTTCAGGGCTTCAGGCAGAGTCAGAGGAACCAGGTGTTTGCCCAGGCGGTCCAGGAGGGACGAGCAGCCCCTGGGTGAATGGGGAGAGAAACATCCAAGTCCTTCCCTGCATGGCCCCTGGTGACGGCCACAGTGCTCCCAGGAAGGACCCCACCCCGTACTGCACCTCCTCTTCACAATAAAGGGGTCAAGACTGGACTCGGACCCTGGGCTTGCCTGGTTCCGCCACTCCTACCGCTGTGGACTTGAGCAAGTTAGTGACCTCTCCCCGTCTCTCATTCCTCATTAGCTTGGCACAGAGTCACTTGATACATGGTCACCATGATGGTCTGTTGCTCTCATTAAATTTTAATGTGACCTTTTTATTTATTTATTTTTAATGCACTGAGAGATTATTATATGCAGACACTGGCTTAGGTTTTGGAGATACAGCAATGAGCCAAACAGAGTCTGTATTAATGGGGACCAAGGTGGGTGTGTCGGGTGGGTGACCTAGAGGTGAATATCCACATCTTCATGTGGCGTTGAGTGGTGTCAAGAACAACAAGTCAGGGAGAGATGTGGGGGTGACCGGAGTTGTTCTTTTAGATCAGCCATTGGCGAACCGTGGCCCACTGTCGCTTGTGTATATATAGGTAAAGTTTTATTGGGACACCCCCTTGCTGCTCTGTATGTCGGCTAGGACTGCTTTTGAGTTAAAGGTTTGCCAAAGAGACTGGTTTGCAAAACTGAAATTGTTTACCATCTGGATCTTTATAGAAAAAAGTTACCAATCCCTGTTTGTTTCTTCATTTATTTTTTGGTACTGGGGATTGAACCCAGGGACACTCTACAACTGGACAGTAGCCCCAGACCTTTGTATTTTGAGAGAGGGTCTTGCTAATCTGCTGAGGCTGGCCTCAAACTGGTGATCCTCCCACCTCAGCCTCCAGAATCTCTGATACTGCAGGTGTACACCGTGACCCTGCCCGACCCATTTAGATGATGTGGACAGGGAGAGCAAGGGATTGGGTGGAGCAAATATCCAGGGAAAGAGGTTCAGGAGAGGAAGCCACAAGTCTCAGGGTCCTGATGGGGAATAGCAAGGGGGCAGGCGGGAGTGCCTGGAGGGGTCTGGAGGTCTGGCTTTTCCTGGGGGCAGCTGGGGAAGGCGTGGGGGCCTGTTAGGAGGTCGCTGCTGTCATCTAGTTGCCTTGGAACCCAGTGAAAGGTTGCAGGAAGGTAAGAAATGTAAATGTAGGAGGCAAGATTCCCAGGACCTGCGAGGCACAGACCACAGGTGTCTCTGGCTCTCTAATGTCTGGGGAGTGCGAGGGTGCATGGATGGAGGGACAGTTCCTGGATCTTGTCAGTGCCCGAGCAGGGCCGAGCAGCCAGCCTCCTGGTGCCCGTGACCCACGGGCTCCGGCTCTCTTCCTAAGGTCCTCCCCGGCCCCCAATGGGCCCTGGTGGATACTCAGGGGTGTCGCATGTCCCCTGGACCATCGCGAGGGGCCATCACGAGTGGGTCACATCTCCTGCCTCCTGTCAGGCTGGGATTTCCTCTTGCGCAGACATTGTCTTGGGGCCCTTCTGTTGACCCGTGGGGACAGGAAGTGGCAGGATCGGCTCCCCATGCCCCAGGCCCACCTCACCGTTTCAGCGATGAGACTAGACTTGCCGGGGAGGCTGGAGCCGAGTCCCTGGGGCGCCCTGGGAAGGCTTTCATCACCTCTAATGACCCAGTGTCAATAGCAGCCTGCTAATAGGTAACCCTGCATTACTGGACTTGCACTAATTAGTTGCTATCCATAGAGTGCCAATCCCCAGACGGTGGGCAGGAGGGCCCTCATAGCATTGGGGAGACCGCCCAAGGCCCCCAGGCCATCGCCTCCTGCATGTCAGTGGGCTAAGGCTCCCACGTGCAGCCTGGTGGTGAGGGTCCTCAGGGAAGGGAGCTGAGCCCCTGGGGCTTGCCGCAGACCCCCACTGGTGGCAGCCAGCCATGGGGAACCCCTGTCCCGCCCTGCGTTCAGGTTGTGTCTGCCTTGCTGGGTGGTCCTGGCCAGACTGTGAGCTGCCTGAGGTCAGGGCGATCCCACCCGGGGATACCCCAGGCAGGCGCTGGAAACCCAGTGGGGATGGGGACTTGGGTGCATGCCCTGCTCTCCTGGTGTGTCCCACAGCAGAGCTCCGTGGGTGTCAAGGGGCTGGGCTGGGTCAGAGAGACGCCTGGCACCCGTCGGGGTGGCGTGTGGCTCCTGGAGAGGCGGCAGCCCTGTGGAGTCCACCTCCTCCCTGGCTCTTGGCTCCCTTCTGGTGCTCGGACTGCCCATCTCAAGAGTGGGACAGCGGGGACAGGGAGCTTGGGAAACAAGGAGGAGGTTCAGTGGTGGCCGCCCTTGGAGAGAAGTGGGATCCCTCTTTAAAAAGCAGTTTTGTTGATACAAAACTCACATCCGTAGCTGCAGGCCGGATCGTGTCATCCCCAAATTCATGTTGATGCCCTTGTGCCAGCAGCTTCCTGGGACACAGGGCCTTCGGAGAGCTGATGAGTGACCATGAGACCGTTAGGGTGGGCCCTGATCCAACCCGAGCAGTGTCCTCGCAAGAAGAGGGCATTGGGACACACACAGGGACATCAGGGGCCCTCACAGAGGAGGGATGGCAGGGGCACAGGAGAAGAGGCCAGGAACAGTCTCAGGAGGAGGCAGGCGAGGTCCTGCTGAGGACCGGGAAGACAGCGCTGTTGTCCAGGCTACTTGACCAGGTTACCCGGCGAGCACCGGCGGGAGCCACAGTCCACACGGCCCGCCGCTGGCAGTACAGTTCCAAGGTTCTCAAATGTCCGTTGGGATCCGGGCCGTTGCTCGTCACCTTCAGGCATCTCCATCCCTCAGGAATGCTGCGCCTCGAGCTAGGCCACTGTCCCCACATCCCACCCCTCACCCCACCTGAGCACCACTGTCTGCCTTCTGGACATTCCATACAAACGGAAGCACACAACGGTGGCCTTTGTGACCTTCCGTCCCCAGCACCAGGTCCCACGTTCCCTTGTGGGATGGTCCACACCTGCTCATCCATTGTCGGCTGACGTCTGAGCTGCGTCCCTCCTTGGTCTGTGGTGAGTGACACTGCTGTGACATTGGTGGATGGGTTTTTGTTGAACATAGAGCTTTCCCGGGTACATAGCAGGAGTGGAGTCCCCGGGGCCTGATTGAGCTCTGTTCACGGGGGAGGGGGTAAATGCTGCAGGGGACTGGGGCAGCGGCACCACAGCTGCAGGAAGGGGAGGGGCCATGGTAGTCCTTCCAGCCAGAGCCCTGGGAGATCTAGACCCAGAGACCAAGTGAAATGGGCAAGGCCTGCGGGGTCTGGGGCAGTGGGGGTGCGGGGCAGAGGCTCCTTTGCGCTCCCCTCTTGAGCTGGACATTCCAAGGGTGGAAACCCCTAAAAGCAAATCTTATCCAAGAACTTGACAGTCCACTGATCAGAGGTTCATCCTTGTGAGAGGACAGTTTTGATGCCAGGTGAGGTCTTAATGGTCCCACGAAGTCAATTGAATCCGTGAAGAGTCACTCACTGACCGACACCAGCACGCGTTACCGCCCATTCAGAGGCGCCAGGAGGGAGCTGGCTATAGTTGGTCCACACCATGCAGTGTGGTCAGTGTCCATAGGGCAGTGGCCAGCTGCATGGTGGTGGACATCCCAGCTGAAAGACCGTGGAACGTGAAGAGAGGCCCAAGGTGTGCTGGACGGGATGCCCGTGAGCCTCTTCCTCCCATTTCAAAGCCTCCCCTGGTTTCCCAGACACCCTGGAGACAGGACAGGCTGATCCTCCGCCCCCGGGAGGGGAGATGGGGGAAGGAAGGGAAGGGGCGAGGGAGGCAGGACAGGGGGCTCTTGGGAGGAAGGGCTGTTGGGCTGTGGGCTCAGAGAGGGATTGGGATGGGATTGTGTGCACAGCAAGAGGGTGGGGGGTGCTGGCAGGAGAGGAGACCAAGAGCGACCATATCTGTCTCTGTTCTTTGCTGTCTGAAGGCCTTGTCCCCGTGGGGCTGGCATGTCGACCACAGGAAGGGTGAACCTGGGTTCTAGTGAAGCTGGCGAGCTGCTAGCAGGACAGGATGGCCTCAGTGCCAAGCAGGACCCAGGGTGGCTTCATTCTGGGGGGCAGGAGGGCAACAGGAAGAGCCCGAGAGCAACTCTGCTTTCCTAATGTCCCAGAGGGCTGCGCAGGACAAGTCCCAGGGCTGTCCTGGTGAGGGTCATCTCAGAAGCTTGACCACCTCTTGGCGTCCTCCCAATGAACTTGGGGCTTTGCTTGGAGAGTCCAGCTGGTGATTCCGCCTCCCGGGAGCAGGGGACAGTGTGGAAGGGCACCAGAGGGCAGGACGAGGCACTGCTCGCTAGTTTGGGCCCTGAGACTCAGCTATGGTTGAGGGATGGGTGGCCACAGGCCCTGCAGTTCAGAGTGGGGGACACTACGATGTGCCTGGAACATCACCCAGAATCCACAATGCGGCAGCAGGAAGGCAGCTGGGGGCAGCCTGCTGGTGGTCAGCTATGTCCTCCTAAGTGCTCGGGGGTGGGTGGGGCAGGGCAGCAGGAACCCAGGTCCCCAGTGAGCAAGGCTGAGGTCACATGCTAGGCAGGCTCCTTCTGTGGAGGGTTGTGTCACCTGTGATCACAGAGAAGAGGGGGCTGAGGCTCCCCCACCGCCCGCTTTCTCCCGTGATCATCATCCAATTGCGATGGAGGGAGGGCCACGGGTCACCTCTCCCTGGAGCCAGGTTACAACCCGCATGGAGAACCAGCCTTGGTCTTGGGCTTGGAACTTCTCTGTAACGTTCTCCACACCTGGTTTGCAGTGTTTGAATCCCGCCAGTAATGGGGATCTCAGAACCTTTCAACAGCAGCCGGTGCCTTTGGAGGCAGCAAGGACTGGAACGAGAGTTTCTCATCTGAGACTGAAAATCTGTTTCTGAGCTTCAGTGGCAGTATTCCTCTTTCTTCTGTCTGTTTCTATGTTTTTGTGGTGCTGGGGATTGAACCTAGTGGGTGCTCTACCACTGAGCCACACCCCAGGCCTTTAAAATTTTTTTTTTTGTATTTTGAGTTAGGGTCTCACTAAGTTGCCCAGGCCGGCCTCCAACTTGTGACCCTCCTGCCTCAGCCTCCTGAGTAGCTGGGTTTACCGTCCTTCACCACTGCTGCCAGCTTCAGTATTCAGCTTAATTTTATACTTGGGGCCTGTAGTGTTTTGAGTGATGGCATCCCCCCTCGAAACTCACGTGGATACCCAATCCCCAGTGCAGAAGTGTTTAGGGGTGTGGGAGCCGTCTCCAGGGCTGCACCCTCCCGAATGGGGTCAGCATTCTTAGAAAAGGCTCAAGACCAAAGGGAGCACTCTCTGGCCCCTCTGCGTTGTTGGATGCAGCAATGAGACGCCATCCTGAAACAGAGCAGCCATCACCAGGCGTCAACAGCAGCATCTTGATCCTGGATTTCCAGCCTCAGAGCTGTGAAAAATAAGTTTATGTTCTTTGCAGTTTACCCAGCCTCAGGTATTTTGTGATAGCAGCACGAATGGATGGAGTCTATTTCCTTGTAGCAGCACAGCACCCCACATTCTTGAAGGAAGGTTTTGTCCCTTCCAAGTTTGTCTTATTTGGTATTAATTATTTTTCAAGGGGGCTGATTTCAAGTTCTTTTACCTATCGGTGAACTCATTAATTTGACTTAGTCTCTGCCCACACCCAAACTAAACAATAGGCCAGGGAATGTCAGGACAGGGTAGAAGAGAGAGTTATTATGACCGCCTTGTTAAGGAGACAATACTTTTATAATGAATTCTGTGTCCGTCAGCTTCCTGTCACTATAGCAAAATACCTGAGACAGTTAACAGCTAAGGAGAAAAGGTTATTTTGTCTCCCAATCTGGGGAGTTCCAGCCTGTGCTCAGTTGGCCTTGTCATTTGGGCTTGTGAAACAGTGTGTCATGGCAGGACACCAGGGAGCAAACCGGCTCAGCTCCTCCCAAGCCAGGAAGCAAAGAGAAAATGAGGTGAGGCCCCCACAGACCCTTCAAGGGGCTCCCCAAGGATCAAGGCCTCCCACTCATTCCCACCATTTCCCACTAGTGCCACCTGGGACCAAGGGCCCCCATGGGTCTTGGGGGGACACGCGAGGCCCCACTACAGCAGAACCCGGTGCTCCAGTCAGGGCTTCCAGGGGAGCAGAACAGGCAGCTGCGAAGTGATGCCCTGCGCCAGGGACAGACTGCTCAGCCCAGGTGGCCCTGAAGAGCATGTTACCTGGTGACGTCACAGCTGCCAGGCTGTGTGAGCAGGGAACGGGAGGCTGAGTGATGCATTTCTCTGAGCGTGTCCTCTCTTTTAGGTGACCGTACACTGATATTTAAGAGGAGCCCGACCGTGGGAATCAGCTCATGTGATTATGGAGGCCGAGGAGTCCCACGAAACGCTGTTGGCAAGCTGGACACGCAGGCAGCGGAGCTGTGACTCAGTCTGAGGAAGTCCTGGGAACATGCAGGGCGGGGGCCGGGGCGGCCCTGGCCTGCATCTGAGTTTGAAGGCTTGGGAGCTTTGGGGTCCTTGGGGTGTCCCATCCCCAGCAGAGAGAGCACAGTGACCTCCTCCACTGTTTGTCCACCCAGCCCTCAGTGGATAGGCCCATGCCCATCCACCTGGGTGGACTTCACTCAGTCCACGGAGTCAGGGGCTAAGCTCTTCCAACAACGCTCAGAAATAAAGTCTGGTGTCCCTTAACCCTGGCACGGTGACACCGAAGGTTAGCCGTCACACAGACTGCACAGCCAGCCCCAGCTCTGTTAACTCAGAGCACGTGGATCTGCTTAGACCAAACAAGACCACACGGCCACCGTGGCCGCCGGCTGCACATGGCTTTCCATAGGAGGCTGACCAAACTCTCTGGGATCCCCCAAGCAGTGCATCAGGAACCAGGACGTGGTGTGTGATGGGGACGGGGGGAGCGGGGTGACGTCGCCTCCCCTCAGCTTATCCTGGATTCCCTCTGAAGCAGGCCCTGACCCCGTCCTGGGATCCACACCCAGCCATCCCCTTGTCAGGGGGCTCTACCTCTGCACAATCAACCAATGGCAGGTGGAAGAGATTTGGGGGAAAAACCCACATCGATAAAAAAGAACAATATAACAACAAGAAAAGTAGGAAGAAAAAATCAACATCACAACTGTTTACGTAGCATTTACATTGTGTTAGGCCTTAGGAGTAACCTAGGGATTGTTTAAAGTACAGGGAGGAAGCCCTTAGGGTCATATGCAAGAACCACTGCTGTCATTTCTATAAGGGACTCGAGCAACCTCAGAGGTAGGTGACCACGGGGACCTGCAGCACATCCTCTTTGGATCCCTGTCCCCTCCTCCAGGTGCAAGGTAGCTGGGGAGCTGCTTCTGGTCTGTTGTGCTCAGCCCAGGGCAGAAGGTACAGGTGCCTGATCAGACTTGTAACCAGTGCGCCCAGGAGCACACAGGGCCCAGGGGCTGAGGGTGGGTCTTGCTGGCACCTGGCTCCCACTCCGTCTCCGCTGCCCTGGACCAAGCTGGGCCTGCTGCTGTCTCCCCTCGTCCTTGGGTTCCCCGCGGCTGTTGACAGGTGCTGACTGCCTCCTGTCCCGTCCTTTAGGGTGCAGAGCCACCATCATTTCAGCAGACCTTGGCCCAGCTGCCAACTCTACTCTTCGTCTGGCCTCCCCCAGCCGCCCACCTGGGACAGGCAGCCAGCAGGACGTGCTGGACTGGGAGGGGACTTGGAGCTCCGCAGCAGGCTCCCTGGGCCTCCCGAGGGGAGGACTGCTTCCAAGAACTGCTTCCCCTCCCGCTGCCCCAGCTCTGACTCAGAGGAAACTGGAAAGAGGACATGAAATACCCACAGTTCCAGGGTTCCGTGGGGTCACAGGATCTGGAGCTCTCCAAGGAGAGGAGGGAGTGCCCGCAGCCGGGGCCCACGGGGCCACGGAACCACGGAACCTCATGGACGGGTGTCCATATCTGTGGTCCCAGTCTGCGATCTGGGGCTGCTTTTCCTGTCCCTCACAGCCATCCTGACCGGTCCTGCCTGTTCTTGCTTCTGACCCCGTCATCCATCGAGGAGGCCTGGGCTTCTGCACAGGGAGGTGGAGGCCTCCCTCGCTCATGGTCGAGGCAGGTCTTGCCAGGCCAGCACCAGGAGCGCTCGGGCCTGGCCAGAAGTTTTAATGAAGAGAACAACAAATGGTGGGCGGGCGGGTGGGGGGGGGGCGGCTGTGATTCCATCTTCCCTTTTGGCAGAAACTAACTTCTCTGCGAGAACAATGAGAAGTCAGGGTGGAGTTTCCCCTGCCACTCAGCACCCCCAGGAAAGTGCTGTGGCTGCGAGGGCTGGACGGGCTCTGCAGGGGGGTGCCTGCTGAGCAGGCCTGGAGGGCTGGTCAGTGGCCGGCCGGCTCTGCTGCCTTGCCTGTCCCTGATGTCCTGAGCCCTTCCTGCTGCGCAGACCGCCACACTGTGGCCTAGACCACAGCATTTGTTGGGTGAAGGCTACTGATCCCCCACAGGGCTGGCCTTGGCGATGTCCTGGGGTCAGTGGAGAGGCAGGCTGGGCAATGCTGGCCAGGCAGGGGCTGGGGACGCGGGACGGCTTCCTTTGTCCCAGGAAGGAAGGCTTCTTGGAGCAGGGCACCTCACTGGACTCCTGAGTCTGGCACAGCTACGACCCAAATCCAGGTGGTAGACACAGGACACAGCCAAGCTGGCCCCTTGCTGGCTGCGTGGGGACCACTGGGAGCTGCCTTTCCTGTACCCAGGGTCCCTCTGGGCTTCCTGGGCGTCCGGTCCTGCCCTACAAAGCTGCTCTCAACCCAGTTCCAAGCCCGGCTGGGCCTCCTTGCTGCGGGGGACAGGGACGTGGGCTTCCAGATACTTTGACATGGACAACTCCACTGGCCTGCGTCTCTTTTTGTCAAAGGGAGGCCCTGAGCAGGCCGGTTGTCATTAGGGAAAGCTCAGCATAAAGTCCACGGGATAAAAATGCCACCCCCCTCAAAAAAGAAAGAAAAAAGCCTCCAAGAATGGGGGTCCCAGAGCAGCTTGGGGTGTGTGTGTGTGTGTGTGTGTGTGTGTGTCTGAGTGTGCAGCCCTGGGGCCTTGGGCACAGCTGGCTCAGCAGTGGGGAAACTGTGGATAGGAATCCAGGAGATGAGGATCTGGAGTCAGAGTTCATGGTCAAAGAGGCCTGAGCTGCCTGAGAGGATGGCACTCCCCGGAGGACCCTCCCAGCCCAGGGAGGCAGGTCAGGGGTCACTGGGTCTCACCCCCTGTCACCGGAGGGTCCTGAGGTTGAGGGCCCAGAGGCAAGGCCTGTCTGGCAGCGTCCCCTCCGTGTGAAGTGGGGGTGTCTAGAATGAGGCTCTCAGGGATGGGGACGCTGGACTTGTTCCTCCCAGTGACAGGGAGAGACACCTGCCAAACTGTGATGGGGTCACTGAGAGGAGGTTGGGGATTCTATGCCTGGCTGAGCTGAGAGGCCAGAGGTGAGCTCGGCATTATACAGGTGAGGAATCGGAGGTGGCCCCGGCTGCTGGTGCCGAACGGGACTTCCCCGGACACCACCCCGGTCAGGTGGGCGGCATCACCAGGGGCCCCTGGATCACACACGCCCGCCCAGCGCTCCCCACGTCAGTGGCACCAACTGGAGAGCTGGGGGTGGGGCAGGAGCCCTCAGAGGCTGGGTCCCTGGAGACCCAGAGAAGGCGCAGCCAGCAGCCAGGCAGCCCAGGAGCCAAGTCTCTCACAGACTCTTTGTTTTCATTAGGGGAAGATCTCAATTAAAATAATTACAGTTACAACAAAAAATCACTAAGAGAGAGAGGAAAAGGAGTTCAGTTAAATGCAGATATATTCAGAAGCTGTTATGAACTGGCTCCCTCTGAAATCACCCATTAACAAGTTCTCGCTAATTATCTACCTTTTATTGTTTTAGAGAGGAAGCGGTTCCTCCATTCCCTCCATTCCCCCCATTCCCCCCATTCCTTCGGGGCTTGTTGGAGGCCCAGGATCGGAGGGGTCTTCACAGTGGACGACACCCCCATCCTTGTGATTAGGTCGCCAGCAAGCCGGGCTGGCCCTGCAGAGCCTAGCCGAGCTTCGAGCTTCGCCTTACAACGAACAATCAGCCTTGGTTTCCATCACTAAGTGTCCCCCTTTTTTCAGAGACGGTGATTTGCCCTGGGACCGAGGCTCCTGTTGGGAGCAAGGCTGTGCGGCAGGAAGAGTTTGGTGTTTTATTTGCACTTCTTGCTTGGGTGGGGGTCGGGGCTTGATTCTTTCCCTCTGTCCCTGGGGGTGCTCAACAGCAGCAGGAACTCTGCATGTGCAGCCCCCTCCCCGGCCCCTCCCCTGACCACCATGACAGGTGAGGCAGAGGGTGGGCATCACTTGGGGTCAGGGTGCAGCCTATGAGTCTGCCAGGGCCGTCTGTCTGGACTTCTGGGACTGTCCTGCTGTCAGCTCTGCCTGCAGGATATGCATTTTCTACAGTTGTGGTGTTTAGACCGAATCCTTCAGACCCCCTGCGTATCTAGCAGCAGCACAAAATTCTGTCAGGCCGCATGGTCCCATGTGGGGTGAAGAAGGAACCTGGCTGCCCAGGATGGGGCTGTGGACGGGGCTCTCCTCCCAGCCGTGTGTGGCAGGAGGGCCATCAGCCCTTGGGTCTCTGGAGGTGGCTTGTGCACTTAGCTGTAAGTCCTGGCTCTCGGGTCTGTAAAACACCAAGTTCATGGTTTTACCTGCCCCCCCCCCCCAGATTGCCTCCGAAGAGGACCACTGTGCCGTCTGGAGGATTGGGGTGGGAGCGTCGGGGGAGCTGTCTGAGGCGCTGCATGTCCTAGAAAAGCAAGAGCCAGATGCCAACCACATAAGGTGCCCAGAGTCAGCACTGAGGTCCTGTCCTGGTTGTGGGGGTGGGAAAGACCCCAGGTGTTGGTGGGAATCCCTGGAGAGACAGCCCTGGCTTCCTGGGTGGTCCCTCATATGCTGGTGGGGCTCTATTGGAATGTGAATGCTCCCAAGGGCACTGACCACTCCCCCGTAGGTGTGGCCCTAGCCCCTCTACTCCCCTGGTGGAATCCCGGCCTTTCTGCCTGTGTGCCCTCAGTCTCTGTTCTCTGCCTGCAGCGCCAGCCGTGGTGTCCACCCCCTGCACGCCTGCGTCCTGGTGCCGGGCACGCCTTGCTCATCCTACACCCCTGCTCACCAGTTAGCTCTGCAGTGGTCTTGGCTGAGGGTCTTCCTTCTGGATGTGCGCCAGGCTCCGCGCTCCTTGCAGAGGAGTGCTGGCCATCAGGGGACTGAGACAGCCCGAGAGGTCGATTTGAAAACCCCAGAGCATCACTCGGCCTCAGGGGCCCCCGTGGGTTGCCTCTGTGCGTGGCACTGTGTCACGCACAGGGGAGGAGGACACCAGAAGCAGGAGCACGGCCAGCGCTGGGCGGGGCCCAGAGTCTGCTGGAGAGCCACACGGAGTCCCCTCCTGAGGGCTCGGCTGCGGAGGGCTGCCCGCTGCTGGCCGAGGGGCACTTGAGTGTTAAGGGAGGCCATTTCCTCAGATCTCTCCAAGACAGAGAAGGAGCAGGGAGGTCTGTTCCAGAGAGTCGGGAAGCTGGCCTGTCCCCAAGAAGTCCCATTGCTCTGGGTCAGTAGCACACCTGAGCCAGGATTAAAGCCCCATCGGCATGAGCAAGGTGACAAAGGCCAGGCCTCGTGCAGGAGGGGGACAAGTGGGTGGGCCAGATGCTGGCTGGTGAGTCCTGCCGTGTGCTGTCTGAGAAGGGGGAGGTGGAGGGCTGGAGGGCTGGGTGTGCAGGGGGACAGCCCCCAAGGGAGTTCAGACCCTCACCTCCCCGCTTCCTGGGTGGGGGCTTCGAGCTTGATCCCCGACTTGATCCCCTTGTACCTGGAGAGCAGCCAGGGGCGGGAGACAAGGGGCCGGTCGCAGGCACATTGTGTCCCAGGTCTGGGCGACAGAGGATTTCCTGGGCAGGCCCAGTGTCCGCCGGTTCCCAAAGGCGAGGCCAAGCAGAGCGAGGCGGCCTGTCCTTCCCCCACCAGAGGCGGTGGACACGAGCAGAGGGAGGTCAGCGGTCAGCCAGGCCCCCTCCTCCCCACTCACCTGGGCGTGACGTTCCCGGAGGATGTGCGTTGGGTGGGGAGCTGGGCCCTGTGGGCGCTGCCATTTCCCGGTGCCGTATCGTTGCTAGTCTGACCTTGTTGCTTCTCCTGGGGTGCATTTTACTTGTGCTCTGCCTCCCCTGACGGGGTGGGTACGTGGAGCAGTGCGACCCGACCAGGTAGTCCTCACCCTGAAGGTGCGGTGAGGTCCCAGTGGCCTGACCAAAGGTGACCCCTCACAGCACACAGTTCTCTGAGCTCTCTCACAGTTCACAGGGCTGCAGGAGGACCCAGGCTCAGGACTCTGGACCATTGTGTGGTGTGCGCTGACCTCGGTGAATCCTCCTAAGGACCCTGTCAGTGGAGATTATTTTACAGAAGAAGAAACTGGTCTCAGAGAGGTTCAGCACTTTTCCTAGGGCCACACAACTGAGAATCAGCTGCACCTGGATTTGAACTCCTGCACTCTGGTTCCAGATCACCTGACCGCCACCCTGCCTATCTGATGCCAAGTGACCTACTCAGCATGACCCCACCTGACCTCACTTCCATCCCCAGACCGGCCCTCCTCTGCTCCCCAACTTGTCAATGTCACCTCCAAACTCTCTCCCTGGGTTGAGAGCTGGCCTGGGCCCTTCCCTCTCATTCCAATCTTCTGCCCAGCGTGGGCCCCAGCTCAGCTCCTCCTCCTCCTGCCTGGCACCCCGTCTCTGTCCTGCCTGCACTGCCCAAATGCCAAGCTGCGTTCTTCCCACTGCACCAAAGTCAAAAGCCCGACTCCTCAGGGTGTCTTGGCTGCCGGCCTCGCGGTGCCTGTGGATTGGCTCCGCCCCACAGCCTGTTAGTCTCATGGTGTGCTTCTACGTCCCGTGGCTCCACCCCTTACTCACGCTTCCTCAGCTCAGATTGCCCGCACTCACTGTTGGCAGCCTGGCGAGCTCCTGTTCACACCTCAAAACCCCGCCTCCACGACCTTCCTGTATCCTCTCCCTCCCGAGAGCTCCTTCTAACTCATCTGAACTTTCATTCTTCTTGTCAATTACGGATATTGCTCTTACCAGTGCCCACCCCCTTTTGGACTCTGTGGAAGGTGTTGGAAGCATCTTGCGCCTCTCCTTCCTAGATCCACCAGAGCCTGGTCCTGGGTAATGCTGGTGGAGTACAGGGAACGGGCTCAGCCCTTTCCCACCCACCATCTCTCAGTGCCTTCTGGAAGATCCTACTGATCGTCAACTTGCAAGCCTCCGGGAGCCTTCTGCAGCCTATTTGAGGGCTTGCCTTTGTCACCTGATGCCCATCTCTCATGGCCCAGGTGCTGAGAATCCTGCTGCTCCATGCACAGACTTGGCCACAGTGAGGCCAACACCAATAGTGCTGCAGCCTCGTGGAATGGTGTTCTGCCGAGAAGGAGAACTGGAGGAATGTTCCCATGGCAACGGGGTCTTCCTGGAGACTGTCGGAGGGGAACAGCTCTGGTTCTGCTGGGCGCGGCTGCAGCCTGGGTAAGGCCAGGCGGAGGCCAGGGCACTGCCCACTGCTCGCTACTCTTCTGGCCGCTCCTCCACTCGGGCCTCCCTCTCACTGTTCTCTGCCGGCCTCCCTGGGCCCTGCTGGAAGGGCTGCTGTGTGCCCCGCAGGGTTCCCAGACAGCCATCTCTTCCCGGGTGATAACAGAAAACGTGCCTTTTGGCAACAGAGGTTTTCATGCTCATGTGAAATGATCCTCCAGAATGCCACTCACGTGTCCATTTCACAGACAGGGCACCCAGGCTGCACTCTGTAAGTGCAGCAGAGAAGCCGGAGGTGCAGAGGGGTGCCGGGCGGGTACCAGCCCAGACTCCTGAGCGCTGTCCTTCCCGGGAGGCCAGCAGGGGCAGTGACCTTCCCCTGACCTGCCCTCTCCTGGCAGCAGGCATCCCTGGAGGGCATCTTCCTGGCTCAGGTCGGGAGGGGAGGGCGAGCCCTGAGCTAACAAGGTCCCTGGCGATTCCAGCAGGGCTCCCCCCTCCCAGCCCCATGAACACGTTAACTGGGCGATGAAGAGGCCAGCGCTCTCCCGCTCGACCTGGGATCTGGGAGAAGCTCCCGAGCCCATCAAGTGAGAGGCACCGTCACATCTGCTGGGAAGTGTGCACACGTGTGAGCAAGTGTGTGACCAGTCGAGTGTGGACCACGGGTGAGAGCGTGCGAACCTGTTCAGGTGTGAGCATGCGAGTGTGTCGTGTATGCAGGTGCACGTGTGTGTGGGTGTGAGTGCACCTGTCAGGGTGTGAGAAGGCCCGAGTGTGTGTGGGTGTGAACAGGAACGCAAGTGAGGGCTGTGTCCTCGGGGCATCGAGAATCCCTGGCTGCTCCTCGGGGAGAGGGGACGTCAGCGGGGCCACGGGCCTCAGGGAGCTGGCCGGGTGGTCCCCAGTCCTCCCACAGCTCCGTGGTGCTGAGGCCCTGCTCGGAATGGGGACCCACACCTGCCGGCTCTCTGGTGCCTCTTCTGTACATGTGTGTCCTTCCAGCAGAGGCCACAGATGTCAGAGGACACACGGATACTGTGTTCCATCAAATGTGCGGCCCTCAGCCAGGCGTGGTAGAGTGGCTGGTCTACACTCCACCTTAGGGCTGGCTTGTTCTGCGGCCCTGGGTGAATCAACCACCTGGACAACCCCTGGTCTCTACCTTGAGGCCGGGTGAGCTCCTGGTGCCCATACACTTCCCTACCCCATGCCACTTCTGAAGTTCCCAAACACGTGGAATCTTCCACAGGTGCATGAGACCAAACCGGAAACCCTGCTGTAACCTTGACCAAGTTTGACCAAGTGAGGCCCTTGACCTCCTCAGGCGGTGGCTGCAGAGTCAAGGAGCAACCGCTGGAGATTGGTCCAGGTGCTCTGTGGTCCTGGGAAAAGAGTCCAAGATGTGGTCCAGGCTTGGATGAGGGCCTGACCGTGTCTGAGGGCTGCCATCTCGTCTCCGTGGTAACAAACTCTGCACTCCCACATCCCCCTGAGGTAGGACGGGTCACGCGTCGAGCTTCGGCAACGAGATGGAAGAAGGTGATTCCTGCCCTGTCCTGAAGGAGGCCCTGGGTCTCCTGGGGGACTCGCCAGCACTGTGGGAGCAGGGCCAGGTCAGACCCTGAGGCCACCCACTCTGCCTACTGCTCCAACCGGTTTATTGATTTATCTTTGGTACTGGAAATTGGACCTAGGGCGGCTCTACTCCTGAGGCACATCCACAGCCCTCGTCCTTTTGGGTTTTGAGACAGGGTCTTGCTGAATTGCTGAAGCTGCTCTTGAACTCACTACTCTCCTGCCTCAGCCTCCCATGTAGCTGGGATCACAGGTGTGCACCACTGGGACCGACTCTGCCTGGGGCTCCTTACATGAGCCACAAATAAACCTGTGTCGTTTGTGTCCTTTTACTTCCAGCATTTCTGTGATGATAAACAGAATGTGCAGTTTAATTTTTTAAAGACATCCCGTCTGGCTGGGCGTGGTGGCACAGCCTCTACTCCCAGCTGCTCAGGAGGCTGAGGCAGGAGGATGGAACATTTGAGGCCAGCACATGCTCACGTGCGTGTTGGGGTTCTCAGTGCTTCTTGAATCCGTATCTTGACGGCTTCTGTCAGTTCTGAAAATTCTCGGTCATCATCTCTTCAAGGGTTGCGTCTGTGCCCCTTCCTGCGCCTATTGGCCGTGCACTACTCAACCACCAGCAGTCTTGTCCGGCTTCCCTGGTGTCCTTCTTCTATCAATTCCTTAAGTCTTGGCTCCCTAAATGGCCCCCGATTCCAGTTTTTGGCATCCAGCCCGACATGGCTGGAACACCGTCAACCTCTCTGTCTGACGGCCCTGCTCTCTGCTACCCCCTGGGCTCCTGTGCACACGGATTATGAATTAGCAGACGCCTCCGGAAGGAAAGAGCGCAGTGTGGGTTACCCCCAGGCTCTATCTCTCTGGAGCCATGGCCTCTCTGCTCAGTCCCACTGCCTGGACAGCTCATTGACGTTGTCAGAAATATTCTCTGGTTCTCCACGGGAGGCCAGGTTGTCTGCAAGCTAGTCTGTCCCCCTAGGCTTTGCGGTTTCCGTCACTGATTTGGGGGTTGTTTATTACAATGGCACAACCTAGCACATCCTGAGCACTGGAGCAGGGATCCTTGGTGGGCAAGTGGGCTGTCACATGGGGATGTGACTGTGGATCACATGACACCCCCAGGAGGCCCCTGCAAGAGCTGCTAGTCCCTGAGCTCTGCGTGTCCTCACGGACCAGTCCAGAGCCTTTCGATGGAAATATTTGCTTTCCAGGAGTGAGTCCAGGTCCTCCAGTGGCTCCTCGGTTAATAGAGAGGGCTGACCTCGGGTTTTGGACATCCCCCTGGTTTCCTGGGGATGAAGCAGGCACTGTGCAAACTACCCCACTACTTATCCAGGCACACATATTCAGGGTCCCGCCGTCTATAGTGTGAATCTGACGAGCTGTTTGTGGCTGGTGATTTTAGAATTGGCATAATAATTCCTTTAAATTTTCTCCCATTTAAAAAGGGAAAGCACATTCAATGATTCAAAAATTTTAGAAAAGCAGCAAGGTGTAAAGTCAAGAAGTAAAAGCTCATCTAATCCCGATTGTCTCGATAAGAACTGTTCATGGGGCCTACCTCCGTGTAGGGTATGTGCTAGTGGGCAAGAGGCCCTGGTTCCATCCCCACAAAAAAGATGAAGAAGAAAAAGGAGGAGGAGGAGGAGGAGGAGGAGGAGAAAGATGAAGAGGAAGAAAATAAAAGAACTGTTAATTATTTGATGTCTTTAATCTACATCATTTATGTGAATAATTACATAAATAAACATTTAAAAATAGGTTCATACTGCGTATCTTGTTCTGCAGTTAGTTTTTTTGATTCAGATATTTTGCAGATGTCGGTGCTTATACCTACCTTGTTCTTTTTAAATGTTATGCAGTCTTCATGGGACAGACTGACGTACAGTTTAGGGAACGGTCCTCAGGCCAGGAGGGAACTTCCAGTAAAACAGCAAAATCTGAAACTGTGCTCTGACCCAAAAGGTGAGCTAGCGGTTGAAGATGAATAAGAAGAGGTAATTTCACAAGATATATGGGTTGAAGGAAAATAACTAAATAAAAAGTATTATAGGATATATATGAGTATTTTATTTTGATCTGGAAAATATGTATATTCTAATTGACTCCAAAACAAAGCAACCTCTTTCTATTTATTTATTTATTTGGTGCTAGGGATTGAACCCAGGGGTGCTTAACCACTGAACAACACCCCCAGCCCTTTTTTTTCAAAAAAAAAAAAAAAAAAAAAATATATATATATATATATATATATATATATAGAGAGAGAGAGAGAGAGAGAGAGAGACAGACAGACAATGCCTTTATTGTATTTATTTATTCTTTTTACTCTTTATGTGGTGTTGAGGATCGAACTCAGGGCCTCACACATGCTAGGCAAGTGGTCTACCACTGAGCCCGAGCCCCAGCCCGTCCCCAGTCCTTTCAAACTTTTATTTTGAGATAGGGTCTTACTCTCTGAGGTTGGCCTCCAACCTGCCGTTTGACAGCCTCCTGCCTCAGCCTCCCAAGCAGCTGGGGTTACAGGCGCGGACCACCTTTCATTTCATCCCTTTGGAATTTGGGTCCTGCCTCCCTTGGGGCATACAGACTTAGATGTTCCCAGGATCTTCTGCTGTTGTAAACATGCTGGAGCATATTTTTAATTGTTGTGTACTTGAGAATAAGTTGGGGAAAGTGCTCTGTGGGACGACTGCTCCGGCT